AAGGCTAGATCTATACAAGTAAATTAAATATACTGCATGTAATCTTCAGGAGAAAGAAACAATTAATTACTTGTTAAAATGTTCAGTATATAAGAAACAGATAAAGAAGATATGGAATAAAGGTCTTGAAGGAGTCTGTCAAATTTCAGAAAACTTTTACAGGAAAGAAAAAAGAAAGTAGAAGAAAAGAATATTAGATTAATAGTAAATAATAGTAAAGAAATGTATGAAATAGACAAGTGGACATCCAGGCTAATAGAACAGTTCTCAGTAACTAGTCAGGATATATTAAATTTCTTTATAGAGTTAATAAGAAGTAAACTCATTTTTGAGATGGTAGATCTTAAATGTTATGGTAAAAGAATCAGAAAAGTAATAAGAAAATGGATCAAAAAACTACAAAGTATGACTTATAACCAGTTTCAAAAGAAGATTTGAAATATAAGATATAAAAAGAGGATAAAATGGAAAAGATTGCAAGAAATTCAAAAGAAAGATAAGATAAAAAGACTTTTTAATCTCCTAGATATTGAAACCATATGACTGGAAAAGAAAACTCTAATATTGAAGAAAAGAAGATTAAAAGATAAAGACCTAAAAGATATTTCATAAAGAGGAATTAAATTTGGGATAAGATGGTTAGGTTTTGAGTAATGTCAGAACTTAAAGAGTGATCTGTAGTAGTGACCTGTAAGCAATAATATTAAAAGTTGGAAGGATTTTCACCTAAACTCCTAATGAAATAATAAATCACTTCAAAGTTATACTTAGAGTAATAATTATAAAGACGAGTGAGCTAGTTAGTGTTTTTTAGTTTTAGTGATTTATATTATATATATAGCTTACAAACATCTAATAAAGTACATATAATTGCCTAACAGATGTTTAAAAAAAAAATCTATAGATTAACTCAATTAGAGAAGTAGAATAGAAATAAAACATTAATCAACTCTTTTTATTACTAATAATATTATTAAAATATATGATGTAACCAGTAAGAATTTGTTTGTATCCAACTACTAATGTATTTTATATTTATCAATCATATTTTATAATAGGTTGTGTCACTTAAAATTCAGGATTAAACTGAGGTAGACAAAATTTCTTAGAAAATCAAAAAATTTGAGCAACTATAAGAGAGAAACAATAGTGAGCAAACACTTTAAAAATATAATTTAATGTTTGTTATCTTCTACTATACAAAATCTCTATAGATATGTTTCAATATAAAAGATTTTGAGTATCACACTGTTAGTTTTTCTTTTTTTGTAAAACTTTCTTATTATAGATAGAAAAAGTGTTTCTTAACTTTTTTAAATTATAGGAAGTCAAATTTTTATTTAAAAATAAATATAAATAAGAGAGTGAGTTTATAAATATTTCTTAAAGTATAATTTCAAGTTGATTTAGAAATAGTATTTATTAGTAAAAAATAAAAAAAAATTTTGTAAACATTTTTTTTGTGTATAGGAAAAGGATCAACAGAAAGAATTTTATTGTTTGTAATTTATTATTATTTATTTGATAATTCTCTCTCATTAATCTTAATTATATTATTTATTATAAAAATTTTTTTTAAAAAATTTATATCTATTATCATATAATTTTTAAATACTTTGAAACAACTTGATTTATTAAATTTTACAATACCTAGAAAGATATTAACCTGTATCAACCTAACTGTGAACTTTGTAAAATTGATATTAATTTTTCTTATTCCAACTATAAATTAATTTATAATTTTTTTTTCTTTTCTAAATATAAAAAATTTAAAGGTTCATTATTAAGTCTAAATATTAGCAAAAAAAAAAAAATTTTTTTAAGAATCAGCGAAAAGAGTATTTGTTTTTTTTGTCCCACAATATATCAATTCTCACGTGTGTAATCTGTAAAGTTATCAACAACACAAAAACAAATTGGATTCCCTTATTTGAACATGTTGTTTAGAGTTTGGTTGAGTTCCCTTATAAATTGGATTTTTGGGACAAATATCGGATTATTACCTCCGCCAACACCTAATGACACGAGTCAACAAAGCAACGAGCCTGAACTTCCCAAAGCCCAATCTGCACATCTGTCTAGGTTAGTCGTGGGACAACTAATTTTGGCGAACAAACAGTATTAACAAATTGCGATATTTCTAGAGTTTCAACAACAAAAGTCGCATTGCCTTCTCACGCAGACATTCGAGAATTTGTAAATGGCGGTGTTCTCTTAAGTTGGATAGATCTGGTCGCGGGAATTTCTGCCAAAAAACACTCGTTACATCCATGCGTAAGATTTCAAAAGTACATTTTTCCTTCAATAGAATGGCTTTCTAATATTAAGTTTATAGGTTACAAAATGTGTTGACGCTGTACACTTTATGAATCCGATTTTAGTAGGGGATGTTATCATAATTCAAGCTAGCGTAAACAAGGCATGGAACACATCATTGGAGGTGAGACATTAAATTACATTTTATGAGAAGTATAATATATAAGAAATGTTCGTAATTTTTGAATGTGGTTTTAGGTTGGTGTCCGAGTTGAAACGGAAAATCCGATAACAGGAAAACGGAGATACTGTTGTCACGGTATGAACAATGCGTTTTTTTGAAATCGGTAAATCTACATTTCAACTTTATATAATATGCGAAATTAAAATTAAGCGCCTTATGTTTAGCGTATTTAACTTTCGTTGCCATTGCAACAAAAAGTGCCCAGACTGCAGGTGCGTCAAGATATCAAAACGTTAAAATGCCAGTTCCACAGCTTATTCCCAATACATCAATCGAAATGCAACGTTATGAACTTGCGGAGCAACGTCGACAAGCACGTTTGTCCCATTTTTTGCATGAAGATGAATATGGTCGAAGGGAACAAACTAGACTTGATGAAATTAGAAAGATTATGCGAAATTGGTCAGAACTTAGCAATGTAGAGAGAAAGAGTAGTGCTGAAGTACCACCTCTGCTACAAGAACCAGAAAGTTACGAAGAAGATAACACTGATGACAATGATCCGGCTAAATTATTTTTGAATAGAAGAAAATCAATAATTAGGGACTCTCTTCTTGTACAACCTGATCGAAGGTTGATTTCCGAAACTTTCGCGGAAGTGGTCGAAGTTGTATTACCTCAGCACGCAAATACTTTACAGGTGTGATAGAAAATTTTTTTTTCTTTCAGATATCAATCAACGTATGGGAAATTATAATATATTTATTTTCCAGATCACGTTTGGTGGTCAAATTATAGCATGGATGGAGCAAAGCGTACGTGTCAGTGCCTCAAGGCACTCGAGAAAGTTTATCTTATTGGCCAGGTGATTATATATAGTCCAAATAAAATTGATATAATGTGTACGCGTTTTATAGCTAAATCTGGTTTTAATTTTCACATAGCATTGATTCCCTGCAGTTTCTTAAACCAACTTATGTTGGTGATGGTAAGTGCCTTCATCTTTACATTAATTGTTTTAGATTCTCACTTTTATAAAATAATTACACTCCATCACACAATTTTAGCTATAACAGTACGCTCGATAGTATCGTGCACATTCCACTCTAGCATGGAGGTATATTGTTTTGTGGAGAGTGGTGGGTTTTTTTTTAATCAAATACGACCTATGTAAATTACAAATAACTTAGTTGCCCTTTCACTAATTTATTGATTTATTCAGTAAATCCATTTACTGGTGAAAGATTTTTTACGAATGACGGGTTCTTTACGATAGGTGAATAATTTAATTGATAATGTTTTAGTCATAGGATGAATTTATTAATAAGAATTTCCGGTAATCAACCTTTAATAGTCGCAGTTGATTTTAACAACATGCCTGTACGAGTTCCGCGCGTCGTTCCTGATAATGAAGAAGAGGAAGTAATGTTTTCAGGATCAGAATTAAGAAGGAAACGTAGACTTTATCAACGTAGAGAGTTGGTTCAAAAAGAACTATCAGCACACCCCGAGGAATTCGAACAGGTTTGTTGTCGAGTATAAACCATTTTTATCGGGATCCGAGATGCTTGCTAACATCTTTTCTTTTCTTGACACTATGAAGAATTTACAAGATAAATAATTTACTTTGATCATATCTGTTATTATTGTCGTTACAGAAAAGATTTGAGAAGTCGATTATATTTTACATGTATACGTCATTGGGAATTACAAAAACAAGTTTAACAAATGCTTAATTAATAAGCATTTGATGTAAAAAATCTACTCGTGGTGTATACATTTTTTTATGCCTGATATCGATAGACGGCTTAAATAAAATAAAGAAAAATTTCTTGGGTGTTTATTACTCGAGCTATTTAAATGTACTTGGTTGGATTTGTGCAATTACATAATATTAATTCTATCACATGTATAAATATAGTAATAAAAAATTTAAATTGGTTTAAATAGATTATATATTTTGAAAATAAATTATTTTTTTATTTAATTAAACCACAGCTGTTATTAAATGTGAGCTCTTTATTGATAATTAAATCTCAAGCATTACATCAATCATCTCATACATATACATGCAAATTAATGATAATCTATTGTGATTTGTCCTAAGTAAACCTAATTACCTTTCAAGTAAGGACTAGAGGCAAAATAGCTAATATATAGTCATCGATGGTACTATTGGTATAGCTAGTCTGGAACTATATATTAGTTTTAATTATTATATTATATATACTAACTTATATATTAGAATCAAATCCTTAAGGATTATTTAACTATCTAGATATTCTTATACTTTTACTTGAACCTCAAAAAGAATTTTTATTTTTTTTATTATAACACCTGTAATATTACAATTAAGTCTTGTTTGATAGAATCTTTATTTAAACAAGTATTGAATTGGGATATTTCAAGTTAAAATAGTTAAATCCCAGAGTTTACCAGTACAGTTTAAGGTAGAAAATATTTGAATGACTACCATAGTCCTAAAAATAAAATCCCAGAGTCTGTTGATATAGTTTTGGAGATTAATAATGTCTAATAATTACTAAAGTTCTAGAAGTAAGATCTTGAAATTAGTTTTCCTGTTTAATTTAAAAAGGTTAGATTAGATGTAATTTATTTAATCAGAACAAAAACCTTTCTTTATACAATTCTTATAACAAATCTATTTCAACTCAATAATCAATAAGAGATCAAAAGTTTTATTCTTATACAATCTAATTATTTTTTTTCACATGGTCTTCATATAATATTAAACTCTGAACCTTATAATTATAACCTGAAAATATTATTACTGTACTATGGACTTACAAGTCTAAAATAAATTATTTTATAAATTTTTTATTGTTTAATTAAATTTATAAATTAATTTAAAAATATTAAAATATTTTCATTTTTATTTTTTTTTAATTTTTTGTTAAATTAATTATATTTTATTAAAAATAATATAAGCTATATTAGTTACAGTATTACCAAAGTTAAATTATTAACTAATACACTTATTTAGTTTATTTGTAAAAGACTTTATTTTCAAAAAGTTGATGAACAATTGTTATTTGGTCAACAAAACAACAAAGCTGTTTTTATTTAGGAGAGGCTTTTTCTTTCTATATAAGAATCTGGTCTAAAGTATCTTTTAATTGAAATTACATAAATAAATCTATAAATATATTAATTAAAAATATATAAATCTTGACATAATGGATATCCAGACTTGTGAAACTATAATATATCTTAAAGAAGAAACAAAAAGAATAATAATAAAAAAGAAAAAAATCTATTGATTTGTGCTACTCCTGTTTACAGTGCTGATTTCTATTTTGGGAAACACGACAAATTGACTATAATAATGGGCACTCAGTCTGGGATCACTAAAGATGATCTTGGATAATATTATATGAAAAGTCTAAAAATAGTAGAAAGAATGAACTTCAGGTCTATAGTCATACAGAGTCATATATACTTATATAGAATTGTTGGGGTAGGTATGGATTTATTATATTATTATTAAACTCTAAATATAACTTTAGAAGTGATTTATTACTTAATTTATAGTTTAAATCAATACTCTTCTATTATAAATATTATTGTTTGTAAATTATTATTATAAATAATTGACCATAGTTTTGATTGAGCTTAAAATTTAACTATTTTTATTATTTTTAATTACTTTTATTATTATTATTATTTTTTTTTTGAGTACCCATAACCAGGCTAGATTGTCAGTTTATTAATCAATTGAAAACATAAGTACATTTTCATTTGAGCAGCATAATATATGTTACAGCTAAACTATTATTCTAATTTAATTAACTCATTATAAGTATAAAAGCCTCTAAGTTTGACCTTGAGGACAATATTTCATTCTGCAGTGTTTTTGATTAAAAATCCTCCTAATCTACTGCATCATTGACAGCAGATTGTCACTACCATATGTCTAATCAAGCCACTAAAATACAGAACACTATAAAAGAATAGATTAAAAAAAGGGAAAGGGGATATCTAAAAATATCCAAGTAGATAACAAGAAAATGAAAGAGTAAAAATTGAAAAAATATTTCCAGCTTCTTCCAAAGATCTGCTTCTCAAGACTTCTTTTCAATAAGAAAGGCTCAATTAATATATTTTTTTTTCCTAATCATCTGAGAAACTTATTTATTCTTAATCTTGATTTCTTTTTTGTGTACCTTCTGAGAAAACTTATCACTTAATAAAAGTCTTTACTTCTAGAACATACTTGGTCTTAACTTTTTTTGAGCAGTGATTTTTTATCCACCTATGGTAGAAAGACAACTTATGATAGATCCCATGTTTTTATGTGACCTAGTAAGGACTAGGTTATGTTGTTTCAGTGTGATATCTTTCAACAACCATGCCTAATTAAAGAAATTTTATTATTATACATCTTCCATTACCCAAAAGGCTAGATTTCTCAATAATTCTTTTGCCTTGTAATGGTAGGAGGTTAATGATAGTGGTAGGAATCCTCATTGATTACAATATTCTTTAACGACTTTTAGAAAAATGCATTCTCAATTGTAACCAAAAGGTTAAAGCTTAGTATAAACTAGAAACTATTTAGTCATATTGCTTGACCGGAATAAAAAAGAAATCCTGATCTTGAACTTTGCCTATCTGAAATAATAAGAGAGTAAAACTTCAGCTTAAATGAATAGTAGCTTTTTTATCACTTGGGGATCTATTGCTTGTATTTTATTGATCTTATAGAACTTGATCTATAGATTAATCCAATTGAAAAATTAGAGCAAACATAGGGTTCCAATTAACTTTTCTATAATTAATGACATTATTGAAATATATGAGGTGACCAATAGAAGCTTGTTTATATTTTGTTACTAATATGTTTTGTGTCAACCAATTAGATACCAGGTGATGTTGTGCTATAGAAATTCAGGATCAAACTGAGGTAGGCAAAATTCCCTAAGAAAACTGTAAAAAACAATAGATACTTTAAAAAAATACAAGATAGTATGTAAGAAGGTGAATAATAAGCCTTTTTCTATCAATAAAATCTCTATTTCTTATCACTTCTATCTCTATGAGATGACATTCTACTTGTCAGTCCTTTTACTTCCTAGAATCTTCTTGTCCTTAGTAAAGAAAGTATATATTTGAGTCTTTTCAAGCCATTATATATTTAAAGATTTAATAAAGATATATTTAATATCAATTATAGTTAAAAAATTTAAATACTTTTATATCAATAAAGTGTTATTTTTTTTTAAATCAATTTGAAAAATAAAATTATTTTAAATTTTTTTTTTTCGTTTATACTTTTTTTAAATAAAAACTTACTTTTTGATAATTAAGAAAAGTAAAAAAAAAAAAAACAATTTTTTTATTTATAGCTAAAGTTTTTTTAAAAAAAAAGAATTTGATAATAAAGTATAAAAAATTTATTTTTTGAAGCAAATATATTTATATAAATTTTATAAAAAAGAAAAATAAATAAATAAAAGTTTAATTTTGAAGACTATTTATAGTTACTTATTTTTTAAATTTTTAAAGATTTTTATCTACTTTATTTGATTTTGAATTTAAAAATTATATAAATATATATAGCTTTTACTAAAGATAATTGATTGATATAATATATAGTACTAAAATATAAATAAAACTTTATTAATTATAATATATATCTTAATTAAAAATAAGTTTTTAAAGAAAAAACAAGAATAAAATCAAATAATATTTACTAAAAAACATTAAAATTTTTAAATTATTAACTATTAAAAAACTTATATTTAAAAAATAATATATGTAATTAATCTGCAAAATTTTATATTTAAAAAATAATATATGTAATTAATCTGCAAAATTTTATATTTAGAATATTTTAAAGATTTATTATTAATTTTAATAATATTATTAATAGTAAAAAAAGTTAATTAATATTGTATTTTTGATTTACTTTTCAATTGAATTAACTTATATATAAGTTTTATAATATCAATAAAATATATGTATCAAGTTTTTAAATAATAAAAAAACTATTATTTGTTTAAATTAAGATTTTTTTCTTTTATTATCTTGATTAAACAAAGTTCAAGATCAAAATTTTTTTCTTATTTTAATTAGGCAATAAGATTAAGGTAATTTTAGATTCTTGCTAAGTTTTTTTCTTTAATTATAGTTAAAATATATATTTTTAGAAATTGTTAAAGATTATTATAGTTGATAGGAATTTTTACTTTTATATTATTATAAAAATAATAAAAGATATTTAGTAATAAAATTACTTTAACTAGATATATGGTTGCTTTCAAAAGTTTGAGTCCACTTACTATATTTTTATTAGAAATTTTAACTTTAATAATTTTTAAATCCTTAACTATACAGTCAAAAATTATAAAATTTATACTGTATATATTATGTCTTAATACTTATTCTATTTCTCATATTTTTTAAAAAAATTTTTATTAATACATTCAAAAGTTTTATTATTACTAAATATTTTTATTTTTTATTAATTATTATAAAATTTATAATAACAGCCAATCAAAATTCTCCAAACATAAAAATTTAATAAAAAAAGAAAATTTTTAACAATAA